TTATATAGAAAAAGCATATAATTTTGATTTAGATATTTACTGATTAATTAAAAAAAGAAAATTATGATGCAGATAGATTTGCCTTTTTGAGGACATAGCAAAAGGCACTGCTTTTAAATTAATAATATTAAATTAAATAGTTAGTATTTAATTAAACACACACACGCACAGCACACATATTTAATTTATATTAAATTAATATTATTCTTTTTTATTATTATTAACTTTGAACACAGGTGTATTTCCATGGTGGCTATCTGAATTGCAGGAGCCCGCTTTCTCTACAGGCCCCTCCACCTCAGGGGGCCCCATTGTAATTGCACCTCCTGCACTGTTTATATTTACACCACTGAGTAAAAGATGTGAATACTTCTTTCATCACTGCAGTCTGACATCGCAGAGGTACAAAAGCTACACATTACACATTACTTTGTATACTAGCTGTCAGACAAAATTTTTTACTTTGTATGAATTAAGCTCAGATAAATTTTACACATACAGTTCAAATTTTTTTCCCATTTATACTTTATATTTCATTGCTTTAATTTGTATCATAGTAACACTGGGTGCTTTTCTGTACAGTTTTCTCATAGTAATATAATTATAATGTAACACACAACTTTGTAATTTGCATCTAAATTACTGTTTGCTTTTATTTCTCTTTTTGTAAATGCATATTTTTATAGTTATTATTTTTGATCCATATATTCACACTATTTAGTTATTTTTTTAAGAAAATAAATAAAAACTTAACGAAAAAGACACCACTGAGGGTTTATGACTGATAATAATGATAGACAGTGTTAATTAAGGTTCATTTTAAGAGACACAGCAGTGAATCAAAGGGGACGATGTAACCTGCAGTGATAACACAGGGATGTCGTAACATTTCCCAAAGCACGTGGGTAAAGTACCTTTTGTCCTGCAGCACCCCCAGCAGAGGTCAGTGTTGTTGAGAGCATCATCATCTGCTCTGTTACAAGGAAAAATGCTGTAAACGTTACGTAAGTAAATGCATGCAAGTTTTATCAGGGAAATTGAGTTGATGTAGTTAAAGTAGATAAAATGTCCCACTGTTATACTGTTATATATGATATTATTAGATTATTATTACTAATGTAATAATGTAAAAGCAGGATTATCCAGTTGAGCTAGAGCTCATTTTAACCTGTTATCTAATGATTATTTTCATTATGAGATAACATGCTGATTATTTTCTCCATTTATTTATAGTGTCTCAATTACCCAGAGCCAGAAATGAAACCTTCCCAACCTTTGTTTTGTCCAACCAACGGTCCAAATCTCAACATTATTAAAGCATCAAATCTTCATGTTTACATGAAAAATGACCTAAACGGTTATTAAAATGGTCCCCAGCAAATTTTCTTTTAAGCGACTAATTGTTTCAGCTGTTTTCTGTGCAAAAATCTGAACCCTTTCTTGCACCTCAGACCTCAGTCAAGATTTTTTAAAGTGTTTTATACCTCTTAAGGCATGAAAAAAAATGATGAAGTGCATTTTTTGAGGGGGTTTTCACATGTCCACTTCAACTTAAAAAATATAAACCAATGGGTGCAGGGTGTCCACACCTTGTAGGCTCACAAAGGACATGTTTGTGACAACCAATCACATCTGTTAAAAGAAAGGATCACAGCTAGCGACAGAGTCAACCACACCTCCTCACTAAGGTAAAAGTTTCTGTCCCTTCCTTACTCAGAGTTGCTCTGAGAACTTTCCTAAATCACTCCTAAGCTAGGACTCCTTACTAAAAAATTTTGGGCTAAGTTAGGAGGAGTATGTATTGTCAGAGTGTTAGTTAATATGGCCCCAGTGCTCTAAGACACATACACACATACACACACCACACCAGAGTGCATCACAACCAAAGATAACAGGAAGTCAAGCTGGAGTCTTTGTTTTGTTTGAATTAAGCTATCTTTATTTCACATTTATTTGTACACAATAAATACAGTTAAACAACCACTGGTGTGTAAATATGACGCTCAGCAGCCTCTGCAGAGCTTCTGTTGTAAAATGTGGGCAGTTTGTCGCTGAACTTCAGATTCAGACTTGACATGGCGTCGGGACCAGTAGCAAGTTAACAACAACTTCTCTGTTGGGAAAAGAGACGTCAGTCTGACGACTACATTTTGTTTTTCAATACAACAGGGTAAAGGCAAACTTCAAAAATAAGTTTGAGGTCATTCAGATCTCAAGGAGATCAACGAGAACACAGCGACGCGGCTGACAGATATCTCTTTTCCTCTGATCGAATTCAACTAAGGTTTAATAGGTTTCTTTAATCCTAAATCTAAAAAAAAAACATGAAAGGAAACAAAAGCTGTGCTATTATTTGTACAGATATCCATCTCCATGCTCTCTGTAAACTATTTCAAAAACAATACGATCAAAAGGTCAGATCTCAATCAAAGACACTACACAACGGCTATTTAAGGCTAAATAATGCATAAAGAAAAGTATTCATACCAATATAGCTGGTAAACAAAACGTCAAACAAGAAATATTTGAACAAACAACGCAGCATCCACAATACTGAAAAGGAATAAGAAGACATCAAAAAGTGCTTCACTATGACAGTATAGATTTCTTTTTCTTAAATTGGACAGCTAGCAGCTCAGGATGGTTTCCTCCTTAAAATAATGTTTAAACTGCACATGACCTCAGTGTAAACTGTCACAACTGCAACCTTCTCCTCAACAGACCACCAGCAACCTTTACTGGCTAACATTAGTGTCATAATAACAACTCTACATCTTTATTTTACAACTCAAGAGGAAAAAAAAAAGTTAGACTACATATGTACGAAACTACGGTTCTCCCTTTAGGACATTTCTTAGCATTTGGTGCAAAGAAAACTAAAGTAAGAAGCAAATTTAACCATTAAAAAGGGAAAGGATCCATTATTTTGATCAAGACAACATTTCTAGGAGATTCTCCCTACGACATAAACAATCACTCAACTAAAATTGCCACTTTTCCCTTGTTTGTGTAACCGTGTGGTTACGTGTGTTCGAGGAGAGGACCAGCCTCGTCCATGCTGGCTATTTTTTTTTTTTTTTTAATTTTTGATCGAGTGTGGAGACAACCAGACTTTTGGTTTGTGTTGAAGCTTCATGTTCACAACATGCTGTGATGTCCTGATGAAGTGTAACGCCAAAAACACAGCGAAGAGCGGCGAAGAGCAGCTTCAATTTTTGCTCGCTCATGTGTTGCAGGCGTGGAAGAAATTCTTTGTGACATAGGTCAACATGTCGCAGGAGTCACAAGACTCTGTTTACTGATTGGCTGTCAGTATTCTCTGGCTGCAACTTGCAGCTTAAAGTTAAACTATTTACCAACTGTTACTTTGGCGGCACCTTACTGCAGCTCGGTGAGCTCAAAGCAGCTGCTGCAGGCCACACTTCACAACTGCTTGGTGTGTTTTCAGGGTTACATTGTTGCATAGAAGTAATCCAATTGTGAAAAAAATAAGAGACAGAGAGCCACACAGTAAGTGATATAGTGAGAAATAACTGGGCTGGGCAATATGATTTAAATCTGATATTTTCTGATATCGATATACGTGTACATGGAAGAGTGCTGCATTTAATAAAAAATAAAAAGTGTCTCATGATTATGAGGTACGGATCTCTATCTCATCAGTGTAACTGTAGGAGCTGTTGTTGAGAGAAAAGTTTGATATTTTAGGAAATAAACTTGTTAATTTTCTTGCAAAGAGTTTTATGAGAAGATCGATAACTGCTCTCATGTCTGTATGCTAAATATGAGGCTACAGCCAGTTAGCTTAGCTTAGCATAAAGACTGTAAACAGCTTGGCTCTGTGAAAAAGGGTAAAAGAAATCTGCAAGAAACAAAATAAAAATACTTTGTTATTGTGCAGCGGACAATCTTTTCTCATCCAGACAGTTAGCAGAGTCTTCAGAAGTTTTGGAAAACTTCATTAACCCACATTCTGGGTTTTTCCAACATGGTTTGGAGAAACAAACCAGGACCAAACGTGTGAAGCTCAAACTGAGGCTGAGTTTATCTGAGCTGTGCTACAAGCTTGGTAATGTCGTGGTTACTCACAGGTGAAGAACTACTGTAGCTAGCGAGGTAACATGACAGGGAAAATCTCGCAATGTTCTCACTTTAAAAGGGATAGTTCACTCCAAAATCAAAAATGCATATTTTTCCTCTCACCTGTAGTGCTATTTATCAATCTAGATTGTTTTGGTGTGAGTTGCCAAGTGTTGGAGATATCTGCCTTCTCTCTAACAAAGAGGAATTAGATGGCGCTCTGCTTCTGGCAGTTTACCCTGAAACTGTGAAATATGCATTTCCTTTTCTACCATATTGTAAAAAAAAAAAAAAAGCAACCGGATAGAGAGTTTCACCTGCATGTGCATATCTCTTTCCTCCCTGGCTGCCTGTCGGAGATTTTTACACATACTTCAATAAATAAAGGTTTCCATTCCTTTCATTCCTTTAAGTGTCACTGTAACCACTGATGATAATAATAAAACAATAATAAAAACAACAACAATAATAATAATAACTGTGTAATATCACATATCGTGGAACTGTGATATTTTTTAAGAAGGTTAACGTACTGTGAAAACCTCACACCGTTGGAACCCTAACCGCCAACTGTTTCACTGCGCAGAGGGAAGCGTGCATCTACTCAGGGACACATGTAAACATTAATTAATGACGTCAGCTCCACGGCTGAGCTGCAACATTAGCTAGCTCAGTGTTGCTAAGTGAGCTAGCAGTAGATGCACGCTTCCTTCTGTGCGGTGATAACTCACAATAAAATAATTTAGATTCATAAATAGCTCGACAGGTAAGAGGTAATGTATGTATATTTGATTTTGGGGGGGACTGTCCCTTCACCATGTTATCTTTTGGACTGCTGTGTTTTTGTAGATAAATATGTAAATCACATCATCGTCTGTAAATGGTGCAAATCTGTGTGTGACCAAAGTTAAACTTAGCTTTACAGAGTTGTGTGGATTGATGTGACGTCATCTTTTCCATCGATTTCTTACATTAACAGGTTTTACTGTGTTTTTTGGCCTGGCACAAAAGCATTGAATTATCTGCTAGTTGTGACTGTATCAGTTACTGCGAGTGAAATCAAAGAACAGAAACAGGATCTGAACACTTAACACCAGGACTGAAGATAATAACAGCAGATATTCTGTCTGTTATAAACATATTTTGTCAGGACTGTAAAATGATTCATGTCCAGGTAGAAGAGTTGGACAATATGGAGTAGAAGATGTATAACTTTGAATAAAAAATACAGTATTTAACAGTCCAATAAGAGAGTGTGAGTGTAGGTAAAGGAGTATAGTTTAGAGAAAGGCACAATATTCCTCCACAGCACACCAACCCTGATGAGGTGTTATGTGAAAAGACAGGAGGACAAAGTAAAAGGCCTCTGCGGTCCTCTGGGTGTCTTTAGGGGGTTTCCTCAGGTTTCCTTTGGGAGTGCATTTCAGGAGTCACAGAGCTGTGAAGTCCCATCTGGTTTTTACAGAGCTGTCGTCGCTGCCACCACCAGGGTGCCGACTGCCTTCACACCAGCGTGATCTCCACCTCCTCTCTCCGCTTCACCTGCCCGCGTGGATGCTGCTTGGGGGGTGGCGGAGCGGCACGGACCTGGAGACAACCATCCATCAAAAGGCTCAATTAAGATACAGCTAAAATGGTTTGTGCTCAATGAAGCAGTATAAACACACCAGCAGAGGGAGCCAGTTTACCCAGTTAAACCTGCTGCAAACTGGTTTCACTGACCACGAGGTGTAGTATAACTGTAAGCTGATACACAACCATAGTAGTGCATATACTGTATCATTAACTTCAGGCTAAAAATAAAAGTGTAAAACCAAATGAATTCTTTACGCTGGCTCAAATCGACTAGATGTTTACTCACAGGTCGAATGGTGCCGGAGCTGGTCTCTGGGTATTTGGGAGGTTGAGGGGAACCTTGGACTGGACCTGATTAGAACAGATTGCCATCACTAACAGTTTAAGCACCTTCCTTTCACCACCATCACACTTTAACACAGACAAACCAGGAAGTCTTACTCTGAAAAGGGCTTTTGTGCGACGCTGGTGGCGGCCTGTGATGTCCGTTGTGATAGGAGGGTGGTCGGCCGATGGGAGAGGCTGTAGCACTGCAGGGACTCGACAGAGGAGACGACACAGTGGGCGTCTGGAGGGGGCTGCTGTGGAGGGGTCCGGGCTGGAAGGGACTGCGAGGGGATCGTTCACACTGGGCCAAAGGGGAGGGTGAAGCCTTGAAATCAGGAGGCAAAAATATAAATGTACACAGTGAAAACTTTAAAATGTGTGATATCACAAAATGTTAGCGAACCCTGGCCGTGTTTGGCTAACCAGGGGTGAATTTCCTTTTAAATGGGATAAGACTATTCTCTCTTTTTTTTTTTAAACTGCTACAGTACCGCTGCTGACATTTAGGAGAGCTCCAACAGTTACCAGGAGGTGGGACAAACAGGTGTGCACCTTCCATCAATCAGGATTTCCCACACACACATTCATTTATTTTTAGAGACTCGCCATGATTAAAACGTCTCCCACCACAAACAGATTTTCTATTTTTGGAGCTGGACCGTTTATTAGGAGAGCTATTGGAATATATATACCCCTTGGCTATTTATAGCACCACACTGCTGGAGTGCAGTGTACTTGGGGCAGAGACAGAGCAGCAGAACGTCAGGCGCATTGAAAGTGAAACTTAAAGCCCAGTTCAGACCAAAGATTCGCAACAAGACTAGCAGAAACAGGCAACTACTTGCAATGTGCTGTTCTGCAACATTCTAAAAACCTGCCAGTTCACACCTATGCAACTAGATGAGACAGTGTATCATCTCTATGCAACAACTCTCTGTACTTCTGTTCTGATTTCCAGTTTTTCAGGTTTATTTTGTGGCTGAATATAATTTGTAGCTTTTTAAAATATAAATGAAGCTGAGACCAGCTGAGTTGCAGGTGACACCATCAGCCGGCTTGAGTCAAGCTCAGACTGGCCAGTTCACACTGCTGCAACTTTTCTCTGCAACGTTCTGAAACAGTTTTGTGTCGTTGGGAATCTTTGATCTGACCTTGGCTTAACAGTTCATTCTGCTGGTTGTAAAAGTTTGCGTTCACTTGCAGCAGCTGCTCCTGTCTGATCTGATCGGCGATCAATTATCCACCCCGTGAATCACGAACTGCTGCAGAGGAAAAAAGAATTCATGGAGAGCTCCTGTGCTGCGTTCACGGACCTGAAAAACCTCAGAATTTAGAGAGGGGACACAATGATACAAAGTGACACTAGGGCCTTTAAAAGAAAAGAAAAAAACATGAAAGTAAGTTGCCCCTCGTCAGTTATTCCTCAGCAGCAGTTTGTTGAGTCTGAGTTGCAGGATGGAGAATTGAGGAAAAAACTGTTCTGATCATCATACTTAAGACTTTTAATCAGTTTCTGGTCAGATTGATCAGCACTGATCAGATCGATGGATTAGAGGAGCAGCTGCTGCAGGTGCAAGGGAAAACAAAATTTCCCTTGCTGGTTAGACCCAGTGCTGGACCATGGGGTGTCCAGTTTCAGCCAGTTTCATCTAATCTTAAGGAATGATTAAATTTAGCTTTCACTACGCTTGGTGCTCTGCTGCTCTGTCTGTGCTTCTAATACACTCTGCCATGAGATAGAGACAGAGACCCTGAAGTATCAACATACCTGTGCGCTACCATCTCTTTGTCCATCTCCGTTCTCACTGGCACCAGCGAGATCCTCCACCAGAACCGCAGGGAAGACACCAACGACGCCGTTAAGCTCTCCCTCCCAGAAACCGTCATCCTCGTGGGTTTCCCTGCTCAGGATGCGGATGATGGCGCCTTCTGGAAATGACAGCTCGTCATCCGTTTGTCCCGCGTAGTCGTAAAGGGCCTTCGCAAATGACACTGCAACAGGAGGAGGACAGGTTGAGAAACTAAATATAACGGGACACTGACTGAGAAACTGGTTGTATAAGCATTCATTTAGCAAAGGTGTCCCCTCACCACTGGAGTCCCCGTTTACAGAGCCGGTTGGTAGCTCGGTTTCAGGTTCAGTGGAGTTACTGGAGGAATGAGATCGGGCGTCCAGTGCGGCCAGAGCCTGCAGCATACTCAGCAGGCTGTTAGAGGAAGGAAGCTGCAAGTATTTCTCTGGGACGTAGCCGACCTGCCCACTGCGGTTTCTGGCCTGGACAAGCACAAAATATAAACTCTTGATGGGAAATCCACATCATCAAAAGCCAAAATGAGCTGAAAACACTAAAATCTGTGGCTACAAATTCAACAGCATAGCTCAAATGTGTGAATATATAGTATGTAGAGTACCTTGACCCAGTCCTCCATGTCCCCATCATCAATGACTTCCAAGATTTCCTGCTCCTCAATGGTCAGTTCATCCGGCTGAGACGCCTAGAAACAATGAAACAGAGGAGTTTGCATTTTGTTTGCATGAAGGTGAAACGAAGGCAGAAAAACAAGTGAGGCAACACAATCGTCTCCTGAACGTTAGTGTCGAAAACACTAAACACAAAAACACAGATTTTGTCTCAGTGGCTGAATCTGAACCCATTTCAGTCACCACTTCTGTTTTCAGTGGCTCTGTGCCTAAAAAGACTTGGTGTTGCTTATTGCAATTACATGCAACTCAAAAAATGATGCGAAGTATTTAAGGAGGACCTATTATGCTCATTTTCACGTTCATTCAGGTATTTTGGGTTTCTACTTGAGCATGTTTATATGCTTTAATGTTCAAAAAAACACTTTATTTTTCCTGATACTGCCTGTGCTGGAACACCTGTATTTACCCTCTGTCTGAGATGCTCCGTTTTAACACCTGTCTCTTTAAACCCCCCTCAAGAGAAAGCCCAGTCTTCTCTGATTGGTCAGTGTTTCTAGTCTTCCACATTTCTGCATGTCTGCACTGTTACTGCAGCCAGTGAATGACTGTAATGAAATACAGTTGCACTTTCCGTTCCACTTCTCAACACACCTGCACAGGCTGTCCAGCAGGAAAATGATCCAAAATCAGGGAGATATTAACAACATCTGTAACAAAGATAACACGTTTCCCTGATCTTAGCATGCAGCTACATGCAGCAGTGTAGGCAACATAATGTAAACCCTAAGGATGTAAGGGTACATAAAATTTACAGTTCAATATATACCTCTGTTTTTGGGGCCACGGTTTGGTACAGAAAATAAATAATTTTTCCTCTATTTTGAAAAATGTAAAATTCACAGTGATTTATTGTCCGTAATTCTTACTGTAAGAGTTAAGGCAAACAAATACTTGCATACTGTCGATAAGATGAACAAAATAAATGACACAAATGTCATTGACGTAATGTAAATCTGATCCTCCATCATAAGACTCTCATCTGTTAATAATTCCTGAAATGCAGCTTGCGTACATTTACACAGGGCAGGCACAACTGACTGACTAAAACGCACACGTGAAGGCACACTGTCATGGAGCTCAAGCACTTTGATCACATGCTTTAATTTTGTATTCTCTACAATGTCAGTTACAGTATATGTGCATGCGTATGTGCACACAGTGGTGACCGAGCCTTTGGCACAATCCCAATCTGCAGTGGAGAGAAGGACTCCCCCTCCACTCTGTTTTTGTCTCATCTCTCTAGTTAAAACATTTGGGCAATGCCATCATAAAAGTATGCAGTGTTTCCACAGATATACCCAATTTGAGCTGGAAAGTGTCAGCATACAGTATGACACTATTCAAAGCACAAATTGAGCTTAACTAACCTGGCTAACCAGGCTAAACTGGCTAGCATGCTACAGAATGTAGACAGCATCCAGTACGCTGCCAAAACTTTCCTGGGAAACTTAGGCTCCAGCTTTTATGTTCGTCATAAATAGACCGTTTTGACTGGGTCACAAGGAGTACTGAATGTGTGTTGCATAACAAACTGAACATCCTGTACTGAATGGTTCAGGGTGAATACATGTACCATTATGTTACTGTTACACCTCGAGTAAACACTTTCACTAATGTGTCGGGAGCAGAGGACATTATAAAGAAATCCGTGGTGAGCTGATGTGAACTTGTTCCTAAAATTGATAAAACTTGGAAACAGAGTATTCAGATGGGTCTGAAGTCTGAGGTTTTTGCTCAAAGGGATCACTTCTACATCTGTTTACCTCATTATTAGAAACTTTGGCAATGAACAATATGAATATGTATATTACGTATATGAATATGAACATCCAACACTGTACCATCATATATGAATATATGACAGAAAATAAGGAAAAACATAATAGGTCCCCTGTTTATACACATATTATTTATGTATGTGTATGTGCTGTAGTGACATTAGCAGGTCTACTGGAGGCCAAAGGTGCTCATTGAAAGCAGTTGTTTATTTCCTGCTGGTACCTTGTAGGAGTAGAGGACTTTACAGGTGAGAGGATAGTTTTTCAAGGTGCTGGAGGGGCTTGAGCTGCTGTCGTCTAACACTTCACCACTGTCCTCCATCTCCTCCTCATCCTCTCGCTCCAGATCTGCTGTTCCCTGCAAAGATATGACAGATTAACTTTTTAATTACACTAGATAATCTGTACGTTTATGGCTACAACAAACTTCAGTGAACTGGATGTCTATGGAGACAGGTTACAAATATGATCTTAAAATTCTTACAGAGAGTGAAGGATCATGGGTACTGAGGTTGTTCCAGCGTTCGTTCTCCAGCTCCTCCATCACCTGGTTCATGGCGCTCTTCAGCCATGTTTCAACAGCAATACCTGCCTGCCTCAAGAGGTCCAGACGAGCCTCCGCTTTCACCTTCACCGTCTGACAATGCAAAATAAAGAATCAATGAACAAACATGAGAACTCATAAAATGTTAAATTACAGTTCGAACTTCTTTCCCCCAAATTTTTTCTGGCACGGTGGAATGCTTCTAATCATACACCACGTTCAGGCTTTAAAGAGACAGTTGGCAACTTTTATTAAATCAACTTTTGTCATATTTGTTGAAACTGACACTAAATTTATACAGAGGCACAAAAAAAATCAGGCTCCTCCTCCTCCTACTGCTTCTGATGACATTGGCTATAATCTACCAAAGTGCACTGAAAACAACCAATCAGAGTTGAGGAGTCTCTAAACACAGCTGTCAAACATGTCAATCACTGCTCGTCAACTGAATTCAAATTGTCGCCGAGCAAATATGATTCAAGATTCTGTGACTGCATTGCCTATTTCTCTCCCCAAATGTTTTCAGAAACATATTTCAGTGCGCTGTTTAGCTGTAAAATGAGAAGCCGGTGTTTTCAGCTCGACTGTTTCCAACATGGCGACCGGGTCACAAACTTTCTCATTTGACAGTGTATCAAGAATATCATAGTTCATAATAATGCAGCTCTGTGACGATACACAAGATGCATTAAATAGAAACACTCAGGTAACATACAAGCATCTCACAATTGAACTTAAGCACAGTACTTGAGTAAATGTACTTAGTTTGTTTCCATTACTAGTATGAAAACTACACTGACCTGTAGTACAGCACTAACAGATCCTAATCTGTGTCACTTCATTGTTTTAACCAGTAGGGGGAGTACTGGGCCTACTTTACGTAACAGGACACTGATTGGGAAAACAGAAACACTCCCTCTCTCCCTCTCTCTCTCTCTCCCTCTCTCTCTCTCTCTCTCTCACACACACACACACACACACGTTACCTCTGCCCTCCGAAGACTCTGCCTGGCCACCTCCATCTTGGTCTCCAGCTCACTGTTGTTTTGCTCTGATGATTCCTGTGTCCCATAATCCTCCAGGGCCTTAAAACAAAACACACGAGAGGAAAATGTGACAACAGCTCACAATTTGAGACAATCATCCAAAATTTATTTTTTACATAAAGAGAGCACCAGACGGAAATCAAACAATAAAGCCATTAATTGAACAATTGATTGAGCCTCACTGGACACAGAGTGACTCACTTCCTGTTTAATGGAAACAGCTTGATCCTAGCTTACTGGATGAACAATGTCACTGATGGAGTTTGTAATCGTTTATCTTCACTGACTGACTTTCACAATAAAATCAGGAGTAGGGGTTAACGTGAGGTGATGATGATGATCTCTTATCCTGCGTTGTATTGCTTCATCATACCTTCCTTCACACATGGTGGATGATTTTATGATCTCCAGTTTTATTATTATCAAACTGACCCACATTGCTGCTGTACGGAAAAGCCCGAATTCCAGTTTAGAGGATAAGCATATCTGCTGGTCATTAACATTTGGCAACTCTGATATATTACTATGATGCATGATATTACCAGTAAGGCTCTCACACATCACTGTAGTTTGTACATTTAGTTCAGCTGGTCTTCTCTAACCTCCTACACTGCAAATAAAATACCCATAAACCTGCTTTAAAAATCATAGAAAAAAGACGCTCTTTATAACAGAACCTGCCTGAGGATCTTCATGTTTTTAAGTGTTCTTCAGTATTAAATTATCTAGTGATAGTTATCTGTGCATTCATGGGTACAAGGTGAAAAATAATAGCTAATTTGGCAACTTTTAATGGTGCCGGTTTGCCCAAAATGTTGGCAAAAAGTGAGCTCAAGCTGTAGTCTGCAGCTAACTAACTGCCTCCATGGTAACATTACACTGTACTTGCTGCTCATTCCCCACAGCCCCTTAAAGGTTGTTTACTGTAGGTTCAAAAGTAAGACAGAGAAAAAAAACAGGAGTGACAAAACCTAATAATGTTAACTTTTTTCAGGCTGCACATTCAATATATATATTTAATTGTATTAAGGCTCAGAACATCCCATCAACACTGATGTTCTCCTCAATCTATTCATATACTTTTACATTTATTCACAGTAATCCTTGTATGAATTATGGAGGCTAGGAGTGTGGTGAATAGACAAAAAGTCAGTATAAAATCAAGTATGTGCAGCTCAGTTCTTTGTTTCCAAGGCAAACTTTATCAGTTCCTAAGGGCCGTGACACACCAGGTCAACAGTCTGCTGTCAGTGGGCATCTGTGGCCCGAGTTTGTGGCACAAGTCGGGCCTTGACAGTGGCTCTTCTGATGATTGTTCCTCTCAATGAGGCCTCAGATCTGTAAGGTCTGAAAACACCTTCTATCTCCCCTCTGCCCACATCATCATCTTTTAATACTACTTGTTTAAAATTGCCTTTCGGTGATTTTAACTGCTTTATTATTGCGTGTTGTACTCTGTTATGTGTACTCTGCTTTTTATTGCATTTATCTTGTTTCATTCGGTTTTGTAAAGCACATTGTAACTGTTTTGAAAGGTGCTATATTGGTGTCTGATCTGGTTCTCACCCGCTGGGTATGGATGATGCTCTTGTATTCTCGGGCCACGCGGCTCGCCCATTTCCTCGCCTCTTTATCCAGACTGTGTTCCTCTGACGTTCCACTTTCCTTCTGCAGCTGAGCCACCTACAAATATACAGAGAGAGAGAGAGAAAGAAAGACAGAGAGGAGGTGAACAAGACCATAACATTTATCCAAGATAACAAAGATACTGTCAGGTATATAAAACCACTGATATCAGGGCTGGTATTGACCTATTATTGGATATCAGTCAATGAGGTTGTTGTGAACAAACCTTCACAACAACTTTAAGGAAGACATGTTTGAGGTGAAATTAAAATCTTTCAACAAAGATAAGATGTCAATGAGATTTCTACGTACAAAGAGGTTGTACATGTAATACAATGATATAATCTTTGCTCAAAATGATCTCACAGAGAAACATGGTAACTTCTTTGTGAAAACAATGTTTCTGAAATAAAATCTTGCTTAATGCAACGACCCACCAGGACAAACTCTGGTTTGCCAGTAAGAGAACCACCAGTGTAAATTATGTTTACCACCTCTGTGGTGTCGATGTGGCAACTTCCTCTTTACACGTTACATGGGCCTAATTAAAAAGTGCTTTGTAGGAAAGATATACAGGAGTCACCAGCAGCGTCACCACTGTTCATTCAGGCCACTTCTGCAGGCTGCATTTAGGTAGTACATCATCATCATCAAGGAAAAATATTCATCTTACATTCATTTATGAATCTCAAAGTCTAAACCCCAGCTGGCTGTCAATTATGTAAGAGGAAGGGAGAAAATCTGTTCACACTGAGAGACAGTGAAGAACCAACAGCTTCTCTCAGTCCACGATGAAGACGTGTCAGTAGGTCAAATAAAAACCTCACATCTCCCTCACACTGTGGATGTCTCTGATAAATGTTCTGAAATCACACTTTACTGTAGCAGAAGTATATAAAACCTACATATTTCCTGCTGCCATTTTAATGCCACTTCATCTTCCTCCCTGAACAACAACAACAAGGCACATCCCTAACAGCTTCTTAAAAAAGGAACTGAGGGCTACTGTGACTTGTTTTCAGTGACGCACATCTAACAAAGCCATCATCACTGCAAATTCAAACAATATAAATACAGCAACCGCACAGATTAGCTCCATATTCAGTGATGGAACAGGAGCAATCTTCTCACCTTCCGGTGTATCACAGTGTAAATGAAGGAATGTAGATCAGCCACTCCAGGCTGTCGCAATCACAACCATCAATGTAAATTCAACCTGTGAATTCTGTGCGACCTTGAAATTTTGTCCGATCACAGCAACTGCAAATCATAATAGTCCCCAGTGTAACGTCACCAAACTCACTGCCTTGATTCTGGTTGAGGCAGACGTGCAACACAAACTACTAAACAAAAATTACTGTTGAAGACCGTACAAAGCAGTTCCCTGACGTTCTGCATGAAAGTTGGGGTACACTATAGTTATGGTGGAACACAAACAACATCGATTAATAAACACTTTTCTAACGTCACTGCAAATCACACTTGGAGAATGACTGAAACACATCCACAACAGATAAGATAAATCACCATGACAGAGGTGGTTTCATCCACATCTACGGCAGGTGCTAAAAGAATCAAGGTGATTTAGATTTAATATGCTGGTTAGTGGTAAATCATAAAGTCAGAACAGTGCGTTTTGTCTGGGACCTCTATCAGATGGAACAAATTATATACACATTAAGATTACAAAAATCCATCTTTACTTCGGTACTACTGAGTACAGAACATATTAAATCAATCGTTGTCAAATGTTAATACCTAAGAGCCCATCTGGGCTAGAAGGCCAAGTTTAGACAAGAGGCAGAAGTGTCACCAAGTGTCCCAAAGCCTGGTAGCCTGCCACGGAACTCTGAGGCCAGCAACGGAGCTCAGAGCTGCTGGGTTTAACTTCAGACAGGACACAGAATCAGCCTGAAGCCAGGAAGCAGCCATGGCACTCTGCAGGCCACTCCGCTGGCTGTCTGGTGAGCCAAAACTATCGCAGCAGCGCCGATCTGCTGCAGTAGTTTCAGCTTCTGGTCGGTCCAGCATGACTACAACAGGTGAAATTTGACTAGTATCTTACATCATGCATCAAATCTGCCCCAAGAAGCATCACTCTTATATTTCTGGTGATTTTAAGGTGGGATGGCTTTCTACAAACCAAGGTGGACAAAGACAGTTTAATTTTACTGTTTCAGACTGGACTTTTCTTCCTTATTGAGATTAAAACATCCCTAAAATTTGAGTTAAGAGGTTTCCACATGCCGACAGCAGTGTGTGTATGGAGGGAAAGGGCCTGGGTGGGGAGGGTCAGTGCACTCTGATGAGGCCCACTCACAATGCCTCCTTTTCACAGATGGGCAGTTCACAGGGCCCAGCCTACCTCCTGCCCCTCCCTCCCAGTTCAGCTCTATTCCTTACCGGATCCCTCTGTCTGGTGCAAGTGGTATGGGAGGGGAGGGAGGGAGGGAGGGAGGGAGGGAAGGCTCTCCACCACTAATGTTTTCTTTAGGAACAGGCTGCTGCTTGTTTGACTTCCAATGAAAACAACGCCAGCATTTGCAGTTTGAACAAATTGTCCAGTGTTGTCCAGTAGAGCAGAGGACCAGTGCAAAAGAGGACTGGACTAGTATGGCTGTGTGTGTGTGTGTGTGTGTGTGTGTGAGAGAGACACGGACTGCAATACATAACATTCATGAGCAGCAGCCATCAATAAACCACTGGCACATTTGCACTCCAGGGTTGTGTTAAATCTAGATAGTAAAATATTTTTGGACTGAACTTGACATTTATGCTGATATTTAATGTTTTATATGGAGCCAAAAAATGCTATAAATGACCAGTATGAGTGGAAAATCGAAGACACTACGGACTTCATGAACAGGTGTGCAGAACACACTGCATCTGCATTGGTGCCCATGACTGAGGTGGGATTTGCTGTTGTACGATGAACATTTTACACACAAAACTTTTATAGCCCCAAGTGTTTGAGCGAGGCAGCTGGGCGAGCAGATTTTGATAAGGCCACAGCAGGAGATGCAGATTGAAAACAGCACTGAAGGAACACGTCTGCACTGGTGTTGCTTTAGGCAGTGGTGGAAGAAGTGCTCAAACCTTTTACTTAGAGTGGAAATAGGCACCCTTTTCCCAGTGTAATGGTTATAGGATAATGACACATCAGCATTTAGACAGGTTCTCTAAAACAGTGGTTCCCAACTGGTCCAGATTTCTCCTGAGTCATTACTTCAAGGTCCACACAGTTTAATATATCTAGCGTCATGCTAGCACTTGGCCATGTTGTTGAGCTAGTTTGCTGCCTCTGTCAAGTAGCTATCGGTTAGTTACTCAGTAATAAGTAGGAAACAGCCCTTCAAAATAAAAGCTCTGTGCCGAAAATTCACTGTACTTCAAAATAAAATGTGGTTTTTATAAACTTGATGCATTTGGGAGTCACTTGTGGTCCATTCAGAATGGAGAGGTTACGATCTCCCGGCAAAATGAAGGCTCGAGGTAAGGCACAAAGGAAATCAGTCAGCCATTGTGCAGAACAGGAAGAAGGATAGTTCTTTTGTTTTCGATGGTAGCTATTGGTAATATCTCCAGTTACCAAACAGTATCAGTGTCAGTTCTATGCAGATACTTTTCAGGATGTTCCAATCAAGTTTTTTTTGGCCCCGATCCCAGTCTGAGTCATTTAATATTGACTATCTGCTGATAATGAGTCCTGATCAAAAACCTCTGTTGTCCTAGATAATACAGCTGCACAATGAACACTTCAATTACTTTGAAGTTATTAAAATCAATCCAGTGTATATGCTTGATAACTGAACAGCTCTGCAGTCCATTAAAAGAAAGAAATCTGCATCCAAGCTGTTCCTTAGTTTGTTTAAAACAAAATAATTTAGTAGAAATTAACTGACGTCTCTATCCCTACTCTGTCCCTTAAATAGAGAACTCTCCAGTGTTAATTGCTCTCATGCAGCTTTGTGGTGAAACACCGTATACCACAGATAGCAAGCAAGCAAAATGCAACATACTCTCTTTCACACTGAGCTTAAAGGAAACGATTGCACACAAATTAGGTAAATAACATAAACAGTTTCATACTGAATTTTGCTGTCGTTTATGGTGTGTGGTGTTTCGTCATAGGTGGGGCTCTGCTCCTGCTCTTACACAGAGAGTGGAGACAGACAGCAGAGTAGGGATGCACCGAAATGAAAATTTGTGGCCCAAGCCGAAGCTGAATAAAATTAAATGCTTGGCCGAATACCGAGTACCGAATACCGTTGTTTAGTTTTTCATTAGTTTTTGCAGATGAACCCCCTCCAGATTAGTGTTGTCACGGTACCAAAATTGGGACCCACGGTACGATACCAGTGAAAATATCACGGTTCTGAGTAGTATCACGATACCAATGCGAAAATGAGGCAGATGTGCCTTTGTCATTTATAAAAAGATAAATCACTTTTCTATAATACATCAATGATATTTCAATGGAATAAATTTCTTATTGAAATTGAAATAAAATAAATAAATAAAATAAAAATCAACCAGCCACCCTCCTCCTCTGACAAGTAAAGAACAGTCCCTAAAGTGCGGTGAGGTTTGTGGACCGTTACCTGCCACAAAGAGAGAAATGTGAACGGCTCGTTTCTCCTCTGACACGTCACATACCTGTGTGCTGCCACGGCTCGGCTGTCCAGGTACTTTTGGGCAGTCATGACGCCAAGAAGAGGACATTATTGGAGCCGGACTTCTCCGTCGCCGGTAAGCCTTATCTTGCGCCACAAAGCACTATGGACGCCATATTTGACAGGAATACATTCCTGTCTGTGTCTGTGACCCCCGTTCAACCCACAACCAGCGGGATTCGCCTTTCGTTTCTGCTGCTGGTTGAAATCTGTACTCACACAGCATGCTGAATGATTTATTTTGCTCGCACAAAACTATTTTTAGTCGCAAATGCGAGTGCGGTGACAGACAGAGTAAAATATCGCCACACTGCCGACATTTTACTCCGTCTGTCACCGCATGCTGTTTGATTGCGTTATCAAAACACGCCGCTATTATTCAGC